TCTACATAGTTTAGCAGGAGTTTATGGAGAACTTGGCTCAGAAATACAGTTATTTGCAATGCAGACACAGAACAGATCCTCTGAGTTTGTCATGCTGTCTTCTGGCAAAGTACAGCATCTACTTTACAGCTCTCAGAGTTATCTCTGAATCCTCAACTTCTTGTTTATCCATATTTTATTCACTTGGGTTTGTACCAAAGTATTAATAATAGTTACTGAAAAGCAATCAACAGTCCCAAACAGCTCTTTCTGTTCCAAATAACAGAAAAACTGTCAGATCAATGTGTAGACAGTTACTAATTTATCTGCAGAGCAGTGTAGAGCTGCATGAGATAGAAGTTGCCTCAGGTACTCCAGCTTTCCAAAAGCACAACCAGCTCGGAGTTAATTAGCATGACAATGCACCGGGACACTTGAGCAAGTTTTCTAGCTCGAACAGAATTTCTTTGATACTTCCTGACTACTGTCAGCTTTCAAATTATATCAAGTTAGTCTGAGGTGGATCTGTCCTACAGAACAAACAATACTAAAAACAGCACAAACACACTATTCAGTATATGTGCTTAATGCAGAATGAGGAAGACAAATGCTTCAACAGTTCATAACTGCAAGACTATATTACACATATTTTTCCTATGTATTCCTATTTTACCTGAAGTGTTCTATGATGATTCTTACTTTACTCAGCATCTTGAAACCTACATGTGCCATTCCAAGGAGGGAGTGGATTTTTACAGCTGTAACATGACAGTAATTTTATTCATTAAGACTTTGCTAGCCAAAGCACTTGGGTAATCATAAGAAAGTTATACACACATGAAAAAAGACACAATAGAAATATATTTTTTTCTTAAAAAGTGTCAAAATACTAATTAAAAAAGCAAAGAAAGGTGGTCAAATTAAAATACAGACATCACTAGTCATAAGAAAGCTATTTCTTTGAAATGGAAGAGCCTGCTTTTGGTAATTATGATGAACTAAAAGAGAAGCCATGGTGGGGCAGGGATCCTCCACCTCGGTGCTTTTCCACAGCACAGACACAATTACCACCCAACACCAATGTCACGGAGCACAGCAGGAGGTGCTGGTCACCCCATCTCTAGGGATGAACACAGTGCTCTTGAAGCAGTGGTCAGTAACAAAAAGGTGAAATTGTTCTTGATCACAGTGAGATCTAAATGGAGGATAGCTTCAGCAAAACCCGGGAATGAGTAAGCAGAGATGGAAGCAGTGTGTTAAAGAGATTCTTCTCTAAACAGAGCAGATGTGGAGATGGAAAGTGAAGAGCAGAAATTAAGAGGAGGAAGGAGAAAGAACAACATAAGGACAAAAGCCAATGACCAGTGATGTGCTGTAGAAAGGATGAGAAACAGCTCATCCAACCAGATCAGAGAACAGCAGAGAGACCAGGAGCTGGTAATGGAGTCAAAGGAGAAGACTACATGGTTTCAGCTACAGCAGAAGAATTCCTATTTAACACCAATCATTAAAATCCAGATTCCCTCCTTGGTATTTTAGTCTATAAACATCTAGCACAGGAATATTCACAATGCTGAACCAGTAAATTCATCCAGTTTCTGATGATTAATAACACATTAACCCAAAGTGATTCATGAATCTGAGGTACCCTGTAAAATAGTAGTGGAAATACTTTGGGTGGCAACTGTTAAAAAACTTAAAGCAGCCATGTTCTTGCTTTCTGAACAAGGTGCAAACACTGTGCACGTAGTTAAGTGCTTTCCTTCGGTTCTGTCTGTACCTGCCTGGCACAAGATTTACATTCCAATTTTATATCCAAAACCTGGAGATATACCAGAGTAACAGAACCCAAGTGATTTTGAGGGAAATCTGACAAAAACACACTCTTGCCTTAAATGTCATCTTAATTATATGAGCTCCTATAACATGGTTGAAGTTGCAGCTTCAGAGATGCTTGTGGAAAGCAAACAAAGCATGAAGCATTCATTTTAGACACAGGTTCAAGTCCAGTTTCAGAAACTGTGATCTTCACACAAAGCACCAAAAATGTATTAGGTATTTTATTTATTTATATGGCAATTTTTGGAAAGCTTTTTATTCCTTCCCACTACGGGTACTTTTAGTTTAACTCCTGGTCAGACTCATCTAGCCAGATTAGGATTAAATGGAGCACAGCAGTAGTCTCACAAGAGTGTTTACCCCCTCATTAATTAGGCATAGAAATGCAATTAAAACCTCTTTCTGCTTTCTAGAGTTGAATAAAAGCAGAGGATAATATTTTTTAAATTTTGCTTACACTTTCTCCATTCATATATTTTCAAAACCATTGCACAATGTTAGCAGAATGAGCATTCCCCCTCTGTCAGCCAGCTGGGAGCTCAGAGTGGGAGTGCACTGCGATTCTGAGCCCTAAAACATTGTGATGAAACAGCTCAGTGCACCAGCCCAGCCAATCCTGCCGTTCAACGTCCTGTCAGCCATCACAAAAAATATGTCATAAGCAAAGGAGAAAAACACACCTGAGCAATAACTAGCCACCTCAAGCTTTTATGGTGCTACTAGTAGCCTATTTGCCAGCATCTGGTCTGGCAATCCTTCACTGTACAGCACTCACTTTGACTAATACAAATCACTTGTACACAAGGGCAGCAGAAACAAGCCCACAGCAACTAATTCATCAAACCTTAAAGAAAAATTAAGAGAAGAAAATGTAGATCTGAATGTCAAAGTACCGTTCCATTGTTAGCCTACGTGCAGAAATAGAGACCAACAACTGCTGTCTTATGGCAAACCCGAATGTGACCAGAGAGCTGATCTCCCCTTCTGTCCAATTGTTCTGGTAAACTGAGAGGCAAGAATGGATTTTTATGAAAAAAATCTTAAGAAAATCCATGACACCACACTCAGAGAATCACAATGGATTTGACAACACTTCTCTCAATGCTCAATAATTTTGTCTCAAGGTGGAAAGCCAGATCAGCACGACAGTAAATTGTTTCTGTGCCTTTGAACAGCTTGGTTCTGACTGGTAACTAAATAAAGGAAGATAGACAGTGCCTGATTGACAGAGTTTTTCCATTTTTATATCTCCAGGAATGCTACAAGGCATACAGAAGTGTCCCCAATAACATGAGGGCTAAGAGAACTGTAATAGATAGCCAGATTTGTAAATCCTTGGGATACCAGATGACTTATGCATTATATTACAATAAATTGCCTCTGAAATTGTGGCATGCTGCTTTGGGGAAGGAACACTTCAGTGTCCTCCCAGGAAGAGAACTTTTGTTATTCTAAATTGCTCTAATTAGCGCTCTTCAGAGCCCTGTGGCTATAGCTATTAGCTTTCCAACACAGCGACAACATTCTCCAGGCAACAAGATAGTTACAAAATACACCCTTCAAAATAGTTAGCAAAAGGCAATGGGAACCCGAAAGTACTCTTTATAATCAGAGCAAGATGTATGATTCTGTATTTTCAGCCTAAGGAGAAACCAGGCAGAACCTAAGATTCACTCATGGGAGAGTTTTCTTAAAATTGTTTACATTAAAAATGATAAATTCTGAATGTACAGATTAACTATTTTAGTACTGCTCTCATTGAAGGCAAATAAGGTTGTCTTCCTACACACCCACATCCCAACCTGCATTTCAGGATTAAAAGTCTCTGAATTCAAGTACTGATTTAATCTTTATTGTCCTCCATCTGAAACGGACCCATGCAGTATCTGATTCTCAGTCCTGATAACCCTTAAAGAAGAAAAATTGCTATTATTTTATACACAAGGATCAGTCTCTTAATTTGCCACTAGGCATCTTCCCAGAGCAGACTAGGCAATACTGTAGCTATGTGGTCTGAGTTACGATTTTTTCTAAAGGGCAGAGGTACTAATGTTTGTCTTCACTGCCATATAGTTCAGTAACAATCCTACAGCTACACTAATATTTTTTAATTTGATCTAGGTGTTTCCTGGTTACTGGCCAGAAAGGTCACTGCTAGAATATTTACAGAGATATTTCTGGTGGTTCCCCCCCACCCCAAGCTTGCTCCTACCATAGCTCAGTATTTGGTTCTGGCTGGGATATAACATTTGATTGGAGATGTTATGACAGTCTTTTCTTTACCCTCAAAACATTAATAATAAAGTTCATATCTGAAACACAAATGTAATGACATTCTGTTTGCTGATGGAATATCAATAAACTACATCTTAGCATTAGGAGACAGAACAAGATTTGGGTTTTTTTAAAGAGAAATAGAAATGCCTTAATTTTTTATTTAATTTTTCAAGCACAAATTTTATATTTGTGACATTGTTCATCTTGAAGAATTACAGTTTTTTCTACTGCAAGTGCAATATTAATAATAAAAGAGAGATTTATTCAGTTGATATTTTGAATTTTCAAAATATCACAGAAATTCCCTCATGCTCACTACACAACTTTCTTGTAAGGTACTGAAAGATTACCTTAACTGTAGTTGTAGAAATGTAGAAATGAGGTTAAGTAACTACCCAGGAACACAAAGTTAATCACTAGAGGAAGTGGGAATGCTATCCTGACTATTTGATTCTATCACTAGCTCACAGTAATTAGGGGTTAGAGTCACTTTTAAACCACAAGTTGAAAAGTAGCAGCTGGTTCATAGAATCACAGAATGTTCTGATTTGTAAGGGGCCCACAAAAATCACTGAGTCCAACTCTTATATGAATGGCCTATACAGGGATGATGGTTGACTGTTTAAAATTCAGAATAAGCATTACTTATCTTCAATTAATACTCAAACCCAGTATTTATGTGAAGAACTAAAGATCACTTGATACGGAGAAGACATGAGAAAAAACTTTCTTGTTCCTGAACACTATGACAGCTATACAGGTCCAGCAACAGATGCTGAATATTCAGTATCTGAGTTTTAAAACACCCAAAGATGAGCTGACACTGCAATAAAACCAGAACATTAACCTGCAATAGTCTGAGTCAAAACAAGACATGAAAAAGTCTTGAGTGGGACAGTACTTACAGCAAACACTAGCCATGATGCAAACAAGCTCCTGTAAACTTGCATGTTCTTCTGAAGCTGCAGATGTTGTTTAGTCTTGACCCATCAGCATCTAAGCCAGCTGCAGGTTTTTCATGACAGCTGTTCAACTTGCACAACTCACAACAAAATGCATTTTCACTATGCATTATCTTGAAAGGTTACTTGCACAAGGCCAGTGAAATGTTATTTGTGGTAAATGGACCTAATACATGAAGGATATTGTTCCAGACGTATTAAGTCTAATATATATCCTCAGTTATTGAGACATATTGGCAGTGGATTCTTCTCAACGTTTTGTTATCAATTCAGTGATTTTGTGATCAATCATTAATCAAGCAGAGCTTCCAAAGATGGTGGGCAGCAAAGAAATGGAGACAAGCTGAAATAGGATTCTGCTTCCAAAGATGTAGGTTAAAACAACAGACAAAAAAGATGAGACAAGACAGACTGCTTGTCTAGATTCTGTGAAGAATAATCTTTTCAGAAAACATTTTAAAAATATCAGACCTAAAGATCCAATTACCTTTTCAGTCTCATTCCATCATGTCTTTCTGTGAGTATCATCCTTTATGGCTGTTCTTGGTTTTCTCCTTGCTCTCTCTGATTCTCTCTCAGCATTATCTTAACAAATTTCCTCAAATATTTATTTCAATACTTCTGAGCATGAAGCTTGGAATTTGTGGCTCATCAGCTTTCTGGAAAGCAGACACTGACCACCACTGCATGTGGACAAGATGAGGCACACAACCTTCCTCTTCACTGTGTTCTGCACAGGTAAGCCATGGGACTGTACCAGTCACACATCACAGAAGAGCCATCGGCAAGTAAGACTCAAAGGGATCTAAACTTGCCATGGTGTGAGGTCAGTGGCCTCATGTACCATTAATCCTGCTTTCTGCACAGGCCATCCCAGACAAAGCCATCTGCTGAATAAAGGCCATGTTGGAGCCTTGGTGTGCTCCAGCAAAGTTCCACTGTACTGAGCAACGTCCCAGAGGATTCTCATGCAGCAAGCCAAAAACATCTTCTAAACCTTCTTTTTCAGTATACAGTTTAATTATTCACTTGATTATAACATCTACTAAATTTGCATTATGGAATTTGCATCTTTATCCTTCAGATTTCATTTGGAAAGTGCACAAACACGTGCAGGAATTAGGCTAACAGCTGGTGTTCCTGCATCTGTGCATAATCTAGCACTCAAATTCACGGCTGTACGATAAATACTTGACCCTGATTTCTTCCCCCCTCCCCTTTTAGAAGATATTGACAAGGCAAGTGACGAACCGCCCCAGTTCAGCTATCCCCGTACCACAGAGCACGGCTCCCCGTGACACAGCACACTTGCACAAACAGCTTGCACAAGCAGGTGGCCAATTCTGGAACTAGTGGATTAGCAACATTATCCCATTTAATGAAAGCTCAAGAGTTCATTAAATGAAATTATTGTCCAGGAAGATCGTACCCAGCAGTTACAGCGAGCGTGTGTGGACGGAAACCTCTGTCTAGTGGTTTGCAAACTGCTGACGGGCGCTACAAGGTGTTATTAATAACGGGGCTATCCAGCACTTAAAACGAGCTAAAATTTTCAAACTTTTCCAGTCACAACTAAGAGGAACGACGCGGCTCACGCGCGCAGCAGTAACACGACACCGAGCCGACCCCGCCCCGCCACCAGACAAAATGGCCGCCCGGCACGCGCCCCGCCCGCGGCCCCGCCCGCCG